GATTCATCCCACGTCCTTCCATGTCCCCTGCATCCCCCTGAGGTGTTCTTGGCCACCTTGGGGATGCCTTTTTGGGCTACCTAAAAACCAAGGCCAGACAAATTTAAGGGAATAAAAAGTGGTTATATTTATTGAAGGGCCTTCAGGGACATTTTGGGCAGACAAAGTCCCCCCCAGGGGCTACACCCAAAATGGACGATGGGTCATGGGTTTTCAGACTTTTATAAGTTTTGTCCTTTTGCATATTGGGGGTTAATCTTCCAATTACAGCTTCAGGTAATGAAGTAATTTACCCCAAGTCTGCCCCCCCAGCTCACTTTTGTTTACATTTCTCGGAGCCTGAGACAGTGAGGTGTCCTTGATTCCCAGGCCTGGAGAGGAATTGTTTTGTTTGACTAAAACGGGAAAGCAGTAGCTGACACTCTACATGGAGTTTAGAGATATACACTAAAGAATTGAATGATTACAAATATATGAAAAATAAAAAAGCTAAAATCCTAAGGCATGAACAGGAGTGCATGCTCCCAGGTGTGTACATCATTCTGGGGGTGCATGGGAAGCCCCAAGACCAGAAGCTTCATCTCACATCCCTCCATGTCCCCTGCATGCCCCTGAGGTGTTCTTGGGCACGGGGATGGGTTTGTGGGGAGCAGAGTGCTGCTGTGGGGCTGGAACGGGACAGTTCCTCCTGCCCAATGGCACTGATGGCTCCCTGGACACTGCTGTGACTGCAGAGATGATCAATTCACCCCAAATGCTTCTGGGGGAATTCCCAGTGACGAGGGTGGAAACAAGAGATGATGAGGTGGGGCTTAGAGAGAAACCCCATGGTTGGGGCAGCACTAGTGGCTGACACAATACCCGGGTGTCCTCAGGAGCTGTTTTGGAGCTGGGAGAAGCCAAACGAGCTGGGATAACAAAGCAGAAATTAAGGGATCCGTTTCCAGGCAGAGGGATGTGATCTTCAAAAGTGGCCTCAGAGGAGAAGAGTCTGACTTGCTCCAGCTGAGATTGTTCGTATGGCTCCTGAGGGCATTTGTGGTGGCAGCAGGGGGACTCCAGCTGACAGTGGGAAAGCCCAGCCACCAGTCAGGGAGTCACTGACATTTTATGGGAAAGAGCATGACATTAACAGGAACCCCTCGGGCAGCCCGTGGGTGCAGCTTTCTGCTTCGGGTGGAGAAGTGGGCACGGGAACCCCTGGGGATGCCAGGACCCCAGCCCACCCCAGAGTGCTCCATGGGATGCCGCCACACGGTCTGGGTGCTCACACCAATCCCCCACACCGGCAGGGAGGTGGCAAAGTGGGGGATGTTGGGATGGTCCAGACAAGGAGCTGGGAATCCAGAGGATGCTCCGGATCCGTGCCTGATGTCAGCCCCAGCAGCTGCGCCCACGTCCCCTCGGCTTATCCCCACTTGAGAGTCCTTGTACCTTCCCCAGCAGCCACAGTGGCATCTCAGAAAGAGGAAGTGTCGCCCCCGGCATCCCCCCACCGTTGTCCGGGGGCTATTTTGGGTCTGGAGAAAAGCGGAAGGCAGCACCGGGCGGGTGATGCCCTGCAGCACACAGGGAGCAGTGGTGGATGGGGAAAGAGGAACTCCAACATTGCTCTACACCCCTGTTCCCACCTGTGGGATGAGGAAAGAGGATCTGTCTCACCTGAAGCATAAAAGGTTTTTGGGGGGCACGCAAGGGGGGCTTGGGCAGTTCCCAGGGTGATTGCAGGGGATCCTCCAATGGGTCCAGCTCCCAATTCCTGCCTTTGTGACCCAGGGGCAGGGTGCTGGTGCACACACTGTTTTTAAATGCTGGTTTTTCTCTTAAATGTGTGTTTTGCCACCAGTGCCCAGGTAAATGTTAGCCCATGTGGCTGCATGTGTGGGTGATCCAAGGAAAGGTCAGGGATATAACCATGAGTGAGGATTGACTCTGATGGATGGA